CACTCCCTGCAGGACAGGCTGTAAGGCATTGCGTGCTTTGTGCCAGACGTGTTTAGCCATCAATTATTTCATGGTGCAGCTTCCAAAAAGCAAATCTTTGCATTGTTCTGGAATACACCCTCCTCCTTTCCCTTTTAATTCAAGCTTGCTACCGCACCCCATTCAAAATGAAATMGAAAATTCTATTTAGAAGCTGCAATAGAACCTCACAGAGAGGGTTGAAAGACTTGCCAAAGACTGTTTAGAACTTGCTGAATTGTTTCTCAGAGGCACCAGATCTCATTGCCCTGTTCTGCCCATGGCTGGAAATAAATACTGTCATGTTCTTTTATTTCCTTGCTTGCTGGAAATACCATCTTATATTCTTACTGCCTAGAAAAGTGGAGAAGTTTAATAACTAACATTAGAGTCTAATAACTAGATCACACAAGGATTCCTGCGAAGCAGAACTAAAAAAAATTTAAAACCCACCACAAAACAAAGTAGTTTAAAATGAGCATGTGTGGTGTGGAGCACYGAGTTCAGCTTGACTTCATCCTTCCTTTCACAGTGCTCAGTGAGCTGYGGCCTCGGAATCCAGAGAAGGAAACTTGCCTGCCAAAACCTAACAGCAAAGGGCCAAAATGTCACATTAAATGGATCAATGTGCAGTGGCCTGTCTCCTTCACTGCTTGTAAGGTCCTGTCAGGTGAATGCCTGCAACAGTAAGTATGTTCCTTTATCTGGGTCCTGGCTGCTTTGGAATGATTTGTTTGTAAAGAGAAATCTGTGCACACATTAATCCACTCATTCCCCTGTGTTATCACAGCATAGCTTGGCACGAACTGAGTGTCATAATTACTAGAGCTGCAATAAMAGGATTGTTTTTATTTTTATTTCTGCCACTCAGAAACAAAAATATGATCTCAAGAGGTACTTTTTTAATATATATTATGGGTACATACCTCTCATCCTCGTGGTACAATTTGATCTGATATTTCCTTTATCCTTTACACTATCCAAACTGGGGRAAAAAWAAAGTCTATAAATTTACTRTAAATTATAAAAGACATTAGAAAAGATAAGAATCCAAGGCTGTTACCTTGTCTTTTCCTGGTATTTTTGTATTACACTGGACATTTTGCTTAGCATGGTGGAATTCAAAACCTGAAACTCTCTGCCAGTGATAATTTTACATGTAATTTCTATCTCTCCTTGTAAAAATTAGAATCCCAGCTTCATTAGCTGGACGGGGAGGGGTGACAGTACAGACACTCTTCAAAAAATCTGATGTTTTATTATGTCTAGATAAGAAYCTTTTCAGAAAGGTTTTCTATAGAAATTGTGCAGTTTGGGCACAACTGGGTTATGCTACTGAGGGCAGTTCCACTAATGGTGTGTTTAACACTGATGGAAAAACCTCTCTGCCACAGACTATGTTTAATGGCACACATTAATTTAGAACAGGCAGTTCTAAGTTCCTGATGTCTAAACCTGTGAGCCCTTTCCTTTGTAAATGAGAGTATTTATTTGCAGCTTTGGGGAGCAGGGTGTTGAGAAGAAAGGAAAATAAAAAAGAGCTTTTAGTTTTGAGCTGGGGGAAAACCAAAAGCCTTTATCAATGGTTTTGATCACAGGTCAGAGATAGACATGTTTTGACTCAACTCAAAGTGAAGAAATAGCTACTTYATACATTTTGAAGCTTTGCTTTAAAAATTATTCACAAAACAAAATAAGAAATAGAATAATTACTGATTTATACATAATATGAAACTYCTTTTCCTGGCCTGCATTTCAGATTAACATGCCAAAATCCTGAGGTTCARAACTCCACTTAAATAAAGCCCTGTGGACTTTCAGGAATGTCCTTGGCATAAGGTTTAATAAAATATTTTGAGCTGCATATCTCTCTGAATTTAATTAATTGTGGATAGTTGAATGGCAGTGGAGCTGGTTTGCAATTGCTGCGCTCAGAGTGATGTTGATGTTACAGCCCCCAGCACGGTGACCCCATGGGGCAGATCAAAGTCCTGGAGAGAATCAGTGTCTGCCCCTCATTCCATGAGCCTCTGGAGCAGGAGCCTCCAGAACCCAGAGTCTCTGGAGCACCCTGGTCTTCATACCCAGCCTGCACAAAGCTTTGTGCTGTCATTGCCTGCTTTTGTCCATTTATCTGATCACTGCACTCAGCCTCTCGGAATTATGCCTTCTATCCTCCCTTCCCTTCCTGCTTTCTTGGCACCACATTGTCAGCAACTCATCTTTCAACCYGAAGAAATTACCCTCAGCCAGTGATTAGAGGGTGGCTTTGCCAGTTGCCTGTACTGTGTCTTCTCTGACTGTTTCTTTCACCTCCTGCATTGCTATCAGCTTGGCTTGACTCAGGCAACCAGCACAGCCAGCCAACAATTTAAATCACMGTCAAGGGGAGCCTTGCTTTTTGGACAGATTTTGTTTTATTTAGGTCATTCTGCACTCCACAGTGCTCAAATGTGGGGAAAGTGATAATGTGTTCACATTTTTTAATTCACTTTTCTCATTTCCATCATGCCTAGCCTTTCTGAGGCAGCAGTAGGAAATAAAGCCATAATAAGATCATATGTATGGAGCCATATAAAATACATGTATATGTACTTTCATATATGTGTGCACCATCTGTGTCCTCCACAGGTAAATGTTGCCTGTACCCTTTTATTGTTAGGAGCTTTGRGGAAGAAGCAATAGAATTCTTGGCTGAAGCAAGGGAATGTTATGGTTTCATGTTGTTCATCTTCCTGCATCTCAGATAAAAGCTCTGTGCGTTGCAGTCAGGAAAAGCTCTTTCTGTGAAAAGCAGATTTTGTAAGCACGACTGCCAACGACGAGATGCTTTTCAGCACTCTGTTTTCTTGCAGAGATCAAGCCCAAGCTTCCAGCGAAGTTTTCTGCRCAGGGCCCTCAGATTGTGGGCGTTCAGCGAGTCTACATTCAGACGAGGCCCGAGAAGCGGATCAACCTGACCGTGGGGAGCCGGGCATACCTGCTACCCCAAACGTCCGTGGTCATCAAGTGCCCCGTGCGAAGGTTCCAGAAGTCGCTGATCCGCTGGGAGAAGGACGGGCGGCGCTTGCAGCCCTCCAAACGGCTCGGCATCACCAAGTCGGGCTCGCTGAAGATCCACTGCCTGCAGCCCGCGGACATCGGCCTGTACCGCTGTGTGGCGGGGGCTGCGCGTGAAACCTTCGTGCTGAAACTCATCGGAGCGGATAACCGGCTCA